GAAAGAGAATAACAGACCAATATCCTTTAGGAGCATAGATGCAAAAATTCTCAGTAAAATACTAGCAAACAAAATCTAAGAACACACCAAAAAAATCATCAACCATGATCAGGCTTCATCCAAGAGATGTTTCAATATACAGCCCCCCCACAATAAATGTAATCCACCATATAAAAAACTGAAAGACAAAAAACGCATGATATACTCATTAGATGCAGAAATGGTCTGTAACAAAATCTAACATTCCATTATGACAGAAGTCCTGGAGGGATTAGGGATACAAGGAACATACCTCAAAATAATAAAGGTAGTTCACATCAAGCCCATAGTCAAAATCAAATTAAATGGAAAGAAACTCAAAGCAATTACACTAAAATCAGAAACAATACAAAGTTATCCACTCTCTCCATACCTAGCCAATGATGTCTTAGCTACAGCAATAATGAAACTGAAAGAGACAAATGGAACACAAACTGGAAAGGAAGAAATCAAAGTATCTTTATTTGTAGATGATATGATACTGACTTGAAAATTTCACCAGAGACCTTGTACAGCTGATAACTTTCAGCAAAGTGTCTAGATACAAAATTAATTCATAAAAATCAGCAGCCCAAACACTGAGCCGAACTCCTGGAACCCAGTTGTAGAAAGGGAGGAGTGATGAGCAAAGGGGTCAAGACCAAGCTGGTGAAACCCACAAAAACAGCTGACCTGAACAAGAGGGAGCTCATGGTCCCCAGACTGATAACTGGGAAACCAGCATAGGACTATTCTAGACCCCCTGAACGTGGGTGTCAGTGAGGAGACAGAGGCAGATGGATCTCTGGGAGTTCAAGGCCACCCAGGGCTACATGACATTAACTCTGTCTAAAAGAGAAGCAGAACTCACACAAAGGTGATTCCAGCACTTGGGATCACATGCCTTTAATGCCAGTACTACAGAGGTGGAGACAGGAGTGATATGGCTGGGTAGAGAGACGAATTTAAGGCAGGAGGACAAAGGACCTCAGTCTGAGCATTCAGTCTGAGTATTCATGGAGACAGGATCGCCCTTTCAGTCTTAGGTAGAGATAAGAGCTAGTGGCTGGCTGCTTTGCTTCTCTGATCTTTCAGCTCCCCCCAATATCTGACTTCAAGGTTTATTATTAAGGCTAATTGGAATTTGTGCTACAAAGAAGGGAATAGCCTTGAATGCATTGGCACAGGAGAAGACTTTCTGAATAGAACAACATTAGTGCAGACACTAAGATGAACAATTAATAAATGGAAACTCATGAAACTAAAAAGCTTCTACATGATAAAGGTCAATGCCATACGGACAAAGTGGCAGTGTACAGAATGGGAAAGGGTTTGTTACCATCGTCACAGCCAATAGAAGACTAATTTCCAAGAAATATATAAAAACTCAAACTAGACATCAAAAAAATCAAAAGATTCAATAAAAAATGGGGTAAAAATATAGACAGAATTCTTAATAGAGGAAACTCAAATGGTTGAGAATCACTTAAAGAAATGTTCAACATCCTTAGCCATCAGAGGAATGTAAATCAAAACAACTTTGACATTCCTTCTTACACCTGTCAGAATGACTAAGGTCAATAATAAAAGTGACAGCACATGCTGGCAAGGATGTGGAACAAGCGGAACACTCATCCATTGCTGGTCAGAGTGCAAACTTGTACAGTCACTATGGAAATCACTATGGTAGTTCCTCAGAAAGTTGGGAATTGATCTACTTTAATATCCATCTATACCTATTTAGCATATACCTAAAGGACACTTCACCATGCCATAAAGACATTTGTTCAACTATATTCACAGCAGTTTTACTCATAATCTCCAGAAACTGGGACAACCTAGATGCTCCTCAACAGAAGAATGGATAAAGAAAGTGTGGTACATTTACACAATGGAGTATTACTCAGCTGTTAAAAATAAATAAATAAATAAAAATTTAAAAATGATGCCATGAAATTTGCAGGTAAATGGATGGAACTCGAAAAAACATCATCCTAAGCAATGTAACTGGGACTCTGAAAGATAAATATGCTATGTATTCACTTATATGTTGATATTAGCCATTAAGTAATGAGAACCAACCCACAACCTGTAGGCCCAGAGAGGATTGGATATATTGTATGAGCAATGAATCTATTTTAAATAAAGGGGAAAGATGAACAACTACAGAGGAAAAAACAGAAACATTTTAAGATTGGGCCTTTAGGTGAACAATACTTCCTGTCAAAAACTCCTTCCTACCATATTCTTTCAATGCTGGAGATGAAACCAAAGGCCTCTCACATGGTAGGTTATATATTCTAACATTGACTTCTATTCCCAGTCCCACTTTGTCTTTTTCTTATATTTAGCTTCTCTTCTTACTCCACTATTTACTAATTATCATTTACTATCTGTCCCCTTTTCTATTATCTTTCTGGGACTTAACTTTGTCTTGCCTGAGGTGATATGTAACTTCCTCCCTAAAGTTCTAGCCTCTAGTTTTCCCTGTCTAATCCCTTCTGTGTTTTTGGGGGGTACACATGTTTGTACATATGTGACATACATATGTACAGGTGTACCTGCATGCAAGTGTGGGGAAGGCCATCAAGTATCTACATGCATTGCTCCCTAACTTATTTTGTGAGGTAGGTCTCTCACGCACCCTAAACATTACCATCTTAGCTACACTGGTTGGCCAATTAACTCCTGGGATCCAGCTGCGTCTGCACCTCTCTGGCCCCAGTGCTTAAAGGAATCTACTATAATGCCAAGCTTTTTATGTGGGGGTTCTGGGATCCAAACTCAGGTTCTCACACTCATTGGCAAGCATTAACCTTTGAGCCATCTCCCCAGCTGCTCTATTCTGTATTTCTAAATCATACAACTCTTCTGGCACTGAAAAACATCTGTCATTAGGCCTAGTTCATCTCTCTGGCTTTGCTTCTTCTTCTTCTTCTTCTTCTTCTTCTTCTTCTTCTTCTTCTTCTTCTTCTTCTTCTTCCTTCTTTCTTCTTCTTCTTCTTGTATTCACAGTTCTAAACATTTCCCAGGCATGGCTCATTGCATTTCAAAGGGATCAGTTTCTGTGTTCAGGGCACTCTGCTGGCTCAAACCTTTGCAACAAATTAAGTCCCATTTATCTTTCGCGGCCAGGTTCAAGTTTCTTCTCTACTAATTCTTACCAGAGAACTCCAGGTGCTTATCCTTTCCCCTTCTGCACTCCTATACTGCTTTTGTATCTCTTACGTACTAGCATCTATTTGTGTATATCTTGTCTCCCTAACTATCTAAACACTCACTGGAATCAGGAACTAGAATTCTACCTTTTTTTCACCACATTTGGCACCAGAACTATCTGGTAATAAATATAGTTTACAATATATTATCCAATTTGTCACTACTTTACTAGGTCACTAAACCCTTGATTAATCTTTGGTCACTACAAATGTCATGCACTGTTGGTGACAGAAGATTGAAAAGACTGTTAGAGAAGGTACATACAAAAAGGAAATATTTGCTTGTTTAAGCTTCAAACAAGATGAAATGCTAAGGTCCTAGTAGTGAGAGTATTCTAGCAGCTGAAAGTGTTCCTTAATATATTTATGTCACCGAGGCAACTCTACAATTCTTCCAAGAGAATAAACAGGCAAATTATTCTTTTCTAGTATGTGCTGGGTTGTCAATAACAAGGTGTTTAATTCAATTGAGTTAATAATCACATATCTATTTTCTGTTTTTTGTAGGATTTTTGCATTCCTAAACTAATAATTAAAATTCAAAATATCCTACATGACTTCTTTTGAAATTGGAAATACTGTGTGATGTGTCAGAAACATTCCAGTTTGAACTGAAATAAGCTTAGAGAAAGGCATTGTTCCTTGAGAGTGAGAGTCAGCAGTAAAGAATGAAAGAGAGAAGAAAAACAGATCAATACTAAGTTCCAAGTCACATGAAAGCCATCAGAGTCTATGAGGACTCTCAATTAAACACTATACATTGTAGGCCTGTAAGAAGGCTTCATGGTGTATTGGAGGCTCCAGCTTAGTCATATTGGCATGTTACCCTTATCATAGTCATGAACAGCTCAATGTATAGCTATAACACAGAGTAGTCAAAATCCTGAAAAATCTTAGATTATAAGGAAATATGGTTCTTCTTAAGGGCATTATTTTTAATTCCTAAGCCTCATTATTACTGAGCACACTGCTCCAGACTAAATGCCCAAAACAACCCTCTATCTTTATTAGTTATGTAATACATTAAGAATATTTTTTGTTATATTTTTCTGGATTACATTTTTTAGCATGCTGTGTAACATCAAGAAATTTAAAGACTATATTCATTTAGTTCCTTTATTGCCAAGACTTTCAGAGAAGAGTTTTGGTTTAGGGTGGACTTTGTATGAATCCCACCCAAAACTCTGACTTCAAAATTTCCCTTAGATTTATATACTCTTTCAAAAACATTATCTAGCCTCACTACGTATAGACATTTTTCTAAGTAAATAGATGATATTATCCTTTCCATCTTGCATCTCATATAGATATAATTGTGGTAGATTTACAGACGAGCTAGCTGAGGCCAGATCACTGCCTGAATAGTAGCTCTGATTATTTTAGAGACAGTGAAGGAGAAAAAGAACCCTGATGAGATGTGGGTGAGTGCTTATTTCTCCTTAATCTGATTCCTTTCTCTTTCTCAGCCTCAGTTTCTTTAAATGTTACTTTTGTTATTCTGAAGACAGGAATTAAAACTGCCAATTGCACCTTTCTTAACAATTATGGACATCTAAGTTAGCTGCATAATACATCTCATAGATTTCATTTACTGGGTATACCATGACATATCTACCAGATATGTACAGTGCTCCATGGTTACCAGGGTCTGAACCTAAATTAATTTTTCCTATAAAGTTTTTTGTTTGAAAACCAACTTCCCTAATGTAATCACTTAAGCATTTTCTCCTGAGAGTTGTGTGTATTCGCTACCTTTTGCCTTACCTCATAGATTTCTCCCTGTTGGACAGTTTTTATGACGTTAATCCATTCTTCCATGTCTTTCCGACTGGGTGCAACCAGGGAGATTTTTCGATGTGGTGTGATAACCTAAACAAAACATCATATTATTAGTTTATTTTCACCAACAAAGCACCCTGCCTTGAGTCTTCAAATTCTCTACAAAATTAGACATAGGTACCAAGTATATTCCTAGCCACTTCTTGAATATAAGACATAAGTTTCCAGAGCCACCCTCAGCTACTCTCATAACTATTCAAGACAATAATAATTATAATAGTAATAATTAACACTTTAATACTATTTCATGCGTGTCAAGCACTATTCCAATGCACTTCTAGGACTATCATTTCAATCAATCTTCATTACATTCCCATGAGATGGACACTGTAATTCTTCCCCTTTCACACCCAGGAAAACAAAGACAAGGGTGTTAAATGACTTGTCTAGAGTCACCCAGAAGTTAAAAAAATGAAGGCAGATTCTTTGATTTTTGAATCCATGTTCTTAAACACAAAGCTATGTGTCATCCATTTCTAAAATGAGCTTCCCTAAAATATTTACTTGCTCACTGCTGCCCTTTGAGAAGTAATGAAAGTGTATTTGCTTCAACAGAGTGCCTCTCTTGTTGTTTGAGGGCAAAAAAGATGTCAAAATATCCAGTTCCTTTATCATGGGCAAGGAGGGATAAGTGCAAGAACCCAGCCAGGAACAGTATCAAAGCCATGCTGAAGGTCTTATTTTATCTATTATCTATGTATCTATCTACCTATCTGTCTGTCTATTATTGTGTGTGTATGATATGTGTGTACAAAGATGTATGTGAGTATAGGTATACATGTGGCAAAGACCATGTATAAAGGCCAATTTTTAGGAGTTAGTTCTCTCCTTCCTTGATGGGATCCAGGGATTGAGTTCAGATTGCTAAGCCTGCATGACAAACTCTTATGCCTGATGAGCCATCTCACTGATCCAGTACTGAAGGTCTTAATGATGTAGACAATAAGAACTTCAACTTTTTCCAGACAGATAGAGAGAAGACTATTGGCTATGGTGTCAGTCATTGCTTCAATGGCTCTGCTTGTTTTAATGATGGCTGTCTCAAACTGAAGATAGTGTTAACCATACTGACATGCATTTTCTGTCTCCTTTTGCATGTAGCACTTGATTTTGTGGTGGATAGGCATAGGAGCTGGTTAGGATAATGACTATAGTCACTCCTTCATTTCAAATCCAATTTTTATCTGATCTGATGTGCAACAGCCCTGTGTTTCCAATATGATAAGGGGTAGCCTAACCTCAAGAGAAACCCTAATAAAATCAACTAATGAGGCTGAGGAAAACAATTTTTGGAGAAGGTAAGGTTCAGGTATAGTGAACTTGACACTTTTCAGTGATTCTTCTGGTTTAGATTTTCATGCATGACCAAAGTGGTACAATATCCCAAGCACACTAAGCCCTGGACACTTCTGCTTTTTCAGAAGTATTCTCATCTGCAGCCTCACTATGGGCTAGATTTCACTGTGGATTACTTATCCTGACAAAGGAAATTATGCCATGAAACTTGGTTATTCTAATTTTTTCTATGACTTATCAGTCTCTTGAAACCCTTCCTGATGATACTTCTTTTACCTAGAAGAGCAACTAAACACTATAATAGTCAAAGGCCCCTTGTCCCTTGAAGTCAGCTTGGCTTTCTAGCAGCCCATTGATAGAGAACATGATTAGTACTCATCTTATCTATCATTAGGCTAGTGGAAATTTGTATGAATAATAGTGCTTTGCAATCAAAGAAGACTTGTTAACCCTGATATCCCCCAAAATAGAACAAATAGGTAGAACAACACTACTTCTTAGCTAGCCCCACCCATGCCCATTCATTATTCTCAATCTTACTTACACAAAAACCGTGGCAAAGATTTCTCCAGCTACTTTCGGCCAAAGCAACTTGAGACAGATCAATTGTTTCACAGTGTGCAAACTGGAAAGATATAGAGGGAGAATTATAAGAAGCCACCTGATTAATTAGGCAAATAGACATTAAAAGATACACACACACACACACACACACACACACACACACTGACAAACATTTTTGGCAGTTATGATCCAACCATTTATTTGTCTTGAGGGCTAAGATTTATGACTTTTGTAGATATGGCATGTGGCAAATAGAAAAAAAAAACTAATTAGAAACACAACTTTCCTAAATCTTTTCTGTAGATTTGCAGTAAGCCTTGGGCTGGTCAGCAGACTCATCCAAATATAAAGTTAGTGCTAGATAAGATAACAAAATATAGCCTACCTGGGGAACTTGTAGTATGAATTATTATTAAGTCCTAATTTATTGGGTGGCAGCTTTTGTCTATCTTCCTTGTAACAGCCAGTCTGCGGTCTGTATCTCCTGGTGTATGTAATGTGGTATAGCTAGCAGCAGGAAATCAGTACTGTCAATATAGACAAGGCTATTTGATCACTATGTAACCTGTGTTGTCATATAACATTCCACGTTCAGAATGGCCTAGGACTTGGTCTAATGCTTTATTATTGCCATCTTTAAATTCCTGATCATTTGATTTTTGGGCTTGTGCTTTGTAAATAAAGCCCAATAAGAACATGGGCTGTGCACATGGATATAGGAAACATGTATCATCGCATGCCTGCCCGTGTTTTGTCATTCTAATTGTATTTATCATATACCTGAACTTAGAATTTCAGTGGCTTCCATCATGGTGGTAATGCAAGTACAAAATACTTATATCTATGACTGAGCAGGCGTGGATACTGACAGTCCACACATTCTGTTGGAGCCAGAACTTGTTACAAACACGAAGAAAAGGCAGTGTTTTTTTTTATTTTGTTTTTTTTTTTTAAGAAACAAGCAACCAAGGAACCCTATTCTATTCATTCTTATTCCTATTCTGTCCTTGTATTATGCAACCATTAATGCTGAAAAGGAAAGCTAGAGCAAGCTACTGTGCCTTTTCCATTTACTCAGAAAATGTTTGTTGGCAGAATGTGAAAATATAAAAAAGTGAAAAAGAAAGAGCTAGCTTTGGATACTGCTGAAAACAAAATATATCTGCATGTAAGAGCTACTAACCCAAATTATATAATGATGGTTGTTCTTTATGTAAGTTATATGCTCTTATATTTATATTTAAAACTGGAATGGTACAAATGAAAATTAAATGGCAAATTTCACAGTAATTATTTATTTTTTAAGAATAACATTAAATACCAAATTAAAACACCATAAGCTAATGCTTTATATTTTAGTATAAATAAACAGTTTGTGTTAGTACCATTAATGACATTTTTCCTGGTTTTTGAATAAAGGGTTCTGCATTTTCATTAGTACTACAAATTTTGTAGGCAGCTCTGGATATAGAAACTAACTAGGAAATCCACGAAAATGAAGAGACATAGGGAAGTGCAAAGGAAAATTACTATCACTCATTTGAATTAGTTAAGGGTAGAATAGATGGTTTCAACTTCTATTTTATTGATGGACTTCTCCATACCCACATATTTCTTGGCACCCACCCACTCATGCAGATGAAAGGGTTCTATAATTACCGAAGGATGGTGTGCAAAGTAGAGCTTCTGTCCTTGAATCATGCAATATCTAAGCTTCCATCTCTTGAAGGAGTTACAGTTCTTTAGCAGGGGTCCTTCCTTCAGTATTTTCTGAAAGACACAAACATAGCAATAGATAGGTTAGATGAATTTGTGAGAGTGTTTATTTGTTCTCTCAGATGGGAAAATTACTTATCTGGAAAACTCTATCTCTGCTATATAGCTGATGAATAATAGCCTGTAGGCCAGGCAAGAACACAAGGAAATTAGTTCCAACAGAAAAGGCATTGGTTTTCTTACTATAAAACGCTTGTGGTGGCATATCCTTCAAGTTATTTTTTGGATATATTGCTCAAAAGCAATGGAGAATGTCTCCATTTGTGGTAAAAGTAGAGAGAAAAGCAAACATATATAAATATAGAAATGACAATCCCGAGAGAGTGCAAGTAGCAGTGGAAACGGCTACGTTCAGGAAAGGCAGCTTTTCCTAAACTGACAAGGCTGTAGCCCTAGATACAGCCTTCCAATCAGTTCCTTTAGAAGATTCTTCTTAGAATACTAAGTTGAATTACGTCTCTTCACTGCTCACCAGCCTCCAATAGCTTCCTAATATTTTTAGAACCAAATATAAATTTCTTATCAAGGCCTTCAGGGGATTCACCAACTGTTGACGGAGCAAGCATAAAAAGGACTCCAAAAGACAATGACCTTCTGATTACTTTATTTAGCACATTGTCTGGCCAATGATTTTCCAGTTATTGCACAACAGACTGATCCTACCGGATACAGAAACTACGTATTGTCTTCATCACTGAAGACATTCTGGGTTATGTTATAGAAAACAAACCAACATAAGGACTGCGGAAGTACTCATCCAGACTAATTGGACAAAGAGCCAGACAACTAAATTCACCAAATCAAGGTTCTTTTTTTTTCCTGTGAAGTCTCCATCATCTAAATCAGAATTTACTATGATGTGGCCAAAGAAGTGTTTTGTTTAGCCTAACTAGTATATCTTAAATGTTTTAATTGATTGATAATGTTTAAAAGATGTATTTCCAGAAAAGACATCAATCACCTAATCCAGTTCCAGATTTTGCATACTATAATACTGACCTGCATGGCAAGATGTGTCCACTAGTACAATAGAAGCATTAAGGTTGTAGAGTTAACCAATCACTTTCTGATTGGACTTAAGCCCTGTTCCACAGGAGGGAGTTCACATGTGGTATTATCAGTTTATTGAATATTTCCCTTCCCCTATTTTTAGTTTAAAGACCTATAACTGAGCCTACCAGGTTATCTAAATATCTACTTTCTTTTCTGAAAAGCACCTTCACTGTTTAAAAATGGGCTATTAAACCAAGATCTTTTTTTACATTGTAACCTGGGCATGTAATATCCCAAGAGGATTCAGATTTTAGTCCAGGCATTTGGCAGCTATTTTATGATATTATTATAAGCAAGAAGGAAAAGTAATTACCTTTCTCATATTCCTATTTTATCTATCTCTAGACTACATCCTTTCCATCCACATGCCATCCCAAATACAACTGCTACTCCAGGGCCTATGTTAGTGCTGGGAACTGGATTTGGCTCCTCCTGAAGAGCGTAAAGTACTCTTAACTCTGGGCCATCTGCACTATTAAGGAGCCATTCAAGCTAGCAAGTCTGTGTAGGAGCAAAGTTTCTGCATATCACTTTAAGTTATATATCATATATACATATACATGCATATATATATATATATATATATTACTATAAATTATAAATCAGAAATGGATTCTGGTAAGTTAAGATGCACAGTGTAATATTTAGCAAGCATGAAGAAAGTAACTTTAAAATTTATATATACATATAGTATACATGAATTAGAATGGCTAAAATCTAAAATACCAACAACATCAAATAGTACTAAGGATGTGCAGTAATAGGAACTCTCATTCATTGTTGTTAGGAATATTAAATGTTATAGGCCATTTGCAAGACAGTTTGTCAGTTTCTTGTAAAATCAAGGTATGATCTGGCAATCGAAATCCTTGGAATATACCAAGTACACGCAAAACTTAAATCATTGTAAAAATCTGCACCACAAATGTTTGTAGGCACTTTATTCATAATTGCAAGCCCTGGTTTATTATATGAAGATATTACAATTTTTCAATGGTAGCACCTAATGGGAAAAAACATTTTAATGCAAGGAAAACAGTTTTCAAGCTATGGCTAGCTGCCAGGCAAAGAGTTTGCAATGTCTGAATTATAGCTGCTATCACTTCAGAGGAGGTTTCAGTAAGTTTAGTACTCATGTATATGAAGTCTATTCATGGAAGACACACATTACCAAGTTGGAGGCAAATAATGTCTATGTAATTTATGCACAGTAGAGATAATGTCTAAACACAGGCTCTATATCATTAGGCAAACATATATGAGTACCCAAACCTGGATATCTAAGAAATAAAAGTGGCCACAGTCCTTTTCTTTGCAAACTCTACTCCCTCTTAGAAAAACTTAACATACTAACCCAATCATTGTTTTATTTTTATTTTTTTATTTTTTACTTATTATTATTATTATTATTATTAATTCAAGTTAGGGAACAGGCTTGTTTCACATGGAAGTCCCCTCTCCCTCTCCCTCTCCCTCCCCTCACCCCCATTCCTTCTCCCCCACCTCCAGCCTACCCCCCCCCCCATCCACCCACCACTCCCACCTCCGGAGGCTCCCAGGAGTGCAGGGGCCTCCCCACTGGCATCCATGCTCAGGGGGCTGGATCAGTCCTGTACTGGCCTCCCAAAGAGCGTCTGGGGTCGATATGCTTTCCCTTGTTCAGGCCAACTGTTTCTGTGGGTTTCTCCAACCTGGTACAGACCCCTTCGCTCTTCATTCCTCCCTCTCTTCAACTAGGTTCCAGATTTCAGCTCAGTGTATTTCTGTGTTTTGAAATAAACTGTTGACATTTTTTTTCTAAAGGCAGCCTCAGGATGATAGCTTGAACAAGTAGAAGCAAATTTCAGGGAATTTCTACAAGTCAATGAGATACAAACATTGAAAATGACTTTGACTGCTCGGGACCACTAAACAGAACAAATGTCTGTGAGGTGATTGGAAGGAGCAAACAGAGAGGCAAGGCTAGCCTTTAGATAGATGTGCTAAGGGTAGAGCTCTGCCTTTGTCCCAGGAGAACTTCCCATGCGTCCCAGCCATTTGCTTTTTGCAGACTGCACATCTCACTACCCTCCCTGGGCTGCCATGCACGGTGTGGTCTATAATTTCCTGATAGTAAATCTGAAGGCTTGGAATTCTCCACTATTTTTCTCAACCTGCAATTACAAAATGGTGGTGGACTCTGCTTTTTCTCCCTCTGACAAGAAAAGTGGGAATGCCTGGTTAATTAGTATGTATGCTACGCAGTGAACACAAACCCCACCCAACCCCCACTAAACTTTGTCCTAAAAGACCTGATCACAGATAGCTAAAATTGGGATTGCGTTCTGTGAACAGCTCTGAACAGTCATTAGTAGAACTGAGCTAATGAGCCTCCCCCAAGGGCCAACTAGCCATCCTTATCATTCTAGAGACATAATGTTCCATGGTGAGCATGAAGGAAGTTCTGCTTTTTTTTTTGAAGTAACAATCCAAGGGTGACTAAAAGATTAATTAGAATTCATATTTAGGTAGCATCTTCTAGTTAATTCTGCCCTATGGAAAAATCCACGAGCTTAGTTCTTTGTTACTTTTAGTTTTTATTGAAAATATTTTTTCCACAGTTCCTTGAAATGATTTACCCAGATATTTTTCTTCTTCGGTTATCACCAAATAATTTGACAGTTTTCCTCTTAAATAATGCTCTGCTTTGTAAAACATTGGAGACTGCAGCATCCTGGGGCTGAAATGTTTGTCAGAACAGTTTTTAAGTTACTTATAAAAGGACTGAGGAATGGGACACTAAGTAACAAAATCTTCTTGACCATATTTATGGAGACATCACTGATTTAATAAAAAGAGGCATAATCCTCCTTGTCTAATCTGTCACATTCCTGTTGTGAATATCTGTACTGTACCAAGTAGGCAGAAGTTAGTGCTAACGAGGTCCTTGTACATACTGAAAAGCCATGCCACCCACCATCTGATGCTTCTTAACCTGAGCACACTGCAGACAGGTCTCTCAGGCTTTCCTGCCAGCTGTGCCATTAAAACCCACATAACTCAGGAAGACTGCGCTATAGTGGTGATAATTTTGGTCGATAATACATCTATAGTCCCACAATTCAAACACTACAGATGCACTAAGTTTCATTCAAATCCCGAGAGTGCTGGATGCAGAAGCATAGGTAAGCAGGGCCCGTGTACAGTGTTCATACAAAATGTCTATCAAAACTGTAGAGCTCTTGAAGAAAGGCTAGAATATTGGAAAACCTAGCTTCATTTCATTTTGGATTCTGTCTGATAAGTCAATCCTTAAATCCATTACTTCTAGAAATCCCCATGCCCAGGGTCAGGGATTTTTTCTTCATCATACTCTCAAAGACTCGGCGCACATAAATTGTCAATACCAATGGAGAGCATTTCTTTTGCTCCATATTTAGAAAACATCTAAAATATCTCAATAGGATCCTGATTACCTACAGGCAATTAACTTCTGCCTGTTGCTTAATTGAGAAAGCGCAAGCACAGCTGTGGCCATGACCTTTTCTTATCTTCCTCCCAAGTCCCCAAAGTTTCGGCTCTCTGCTATGTCTCTTTTTTCTGTGGCTTGTGAGGATCTGGGGAATTATATTCTCCTTCCTCGTAAAATGAGCCCCTATTACATAGCCAAATTGATCTGCACTCCCACCCAATGAAACAGTAGGCAAACATCACGACAATGCACCAGTACCTGTTAGCAGCCTGCTACATATGCTTCGGTCCTATTTGCTCTCACTGCTCTTGTGAAGAAGGCTGGGCTGAGTTGACGGATGATCACCTCGCCAAATAAGAACTGAACCCTCACTATGAGGGCAGCTTCTGAAGCTTTTTGTCTCCTTCAGTCTCCGAACCCAGAACATCTATTCTCTTTGCTTTGGGGGTGGGGGTAATGGGCCTGCCAAAGTCGATTCAGAGCAACAGTG